TTGTGGTAAGCACTAAAGATGACACTGTCGTGTCATTAATTTAGTCTTATGTGCATAAAGATGAGAAAGGTAAAATTTTATACTGCAATAGCATAGTTAACCTTATATTGATCTCAAGCCAGTCTCATTTAATGATAATATTTACTTGACCTTAGTTTATGTATCATCTTATTCAATATGATGATGAGTGTTATATCTTCTTGCTTCAAATTCTTGAAAATTAAGATTAATATTAACCCCAAAAGAATTGTATTTTGAACCGTGCAACAATGATACTTTTGCATAGACATGTGATAAATTATAAATCTTATTAGATTATTTTTAAGCATGATAGTTTTTGCTTAGAAGCAATCCCATTCTCATTTTTAGAAATGGTACCAGTAAACCTTAAAAGCCGATCATGTATATGTGTGATACAAAGGAATTGCTTCTTTATGTAACACATGAAAAAAAAAGAAGATATATTACAGTAGCATATGTAAACCAGTGCCTAATTTTTAGTCAAAATTACTAGTCATATACATGTGTCATTTGGTTCTCAGGGCTTTTTATTTGCACGAAACACTATGTCTTGATTATAATAGTCTTTACTGTTTTCCATATATATGAACCAATAATTTGAAAAGGTTTATTTTGGCTAGCTTATTGGGATACATTTTGTGTAAATATAGAATATGCTAGTAACATTGAATAAGCTTGATTGTTTTCTAGAGTAGAATATAACTCATTACAATTTGAATTAATTTATAGTTACTGAAATGGTAGTGCATGATATATAGTACTATATCTAAATAATATATTTTGATAAGTTTACATATAGTATATTAGTACATGAGTATTTACTGGACCAAAATTAATCATTGATAATATTTTTTATTATTTTTAATTCACTTATTTTTATGATAGTGTTTACTATGTTGAACTTACTAAAGTTTGATTTATGGCTATGTAAAATTATATTACATTCCTTGAAGTGAATTAAACAATTTGTGTTAAATATTATATAAGGATAAGACGGTGGATTCAAGTCCCAATGCACCATGAGGATAAGATATCGGGTTTTGAGTCCTGATGCTCCATGATTATAAGAGTTGGGTTCGAGTCCCAACTAATTATGGCCTAGCATGCTTTTATATGGGTAAGGCATTGTGTTTTAGTCACAAATGCGCCATATTGATGATATAATGATGACTAAAGAAAAATAACATATTTTTCATGAAAAAGCACGAAGCATGTCCCACTTGATTTGCACCATTCTTGAAGTGAATGTGGTAGCAGTGCATAATAAGTCTAAATGAAGACAGGTGGTTGACCAATGAACATGGGCGTGCCAAAGACAATATTAATAGTCATCATTATGGTAATTGTAAAAATGAGAACAACAAGGGTTCTCAAATATTCCTTCAAAATGTGAAGGTGATGTTTGCCATCAATGTGGTATGAAAATAATAAGCATGCCCATATGATAATAGTCCACTTGAAGAGAATGTGACTTGTGATATGCATTGTAAATGCAAACTCATTCTTGAAAGTGAATGTGAAAATATATATGTGATTCAAAATTATGCATAAGAATGTGCTTATGCAAGATTGGATAAATACCACAACTCACCTTTAAGGGAGGTTTGAGAGAGATAAAGATATTGAATATTACAATGTGATTACATAAATATATCATTGGTCGCGTACATGTGGTACGCCAAAAAAATATATTTTGTCATGCCTTATAAAAGGTTATTAAAGGCAAAAGTAAAGCAAGAAATGAGTCTTGTCTATAATGTTTTTGATTGTGACAATGATAAGATAATTTTTTCTGTGAAGAAAAAATTCTCCACTTGGATGGTGGTAAAAAAGATCTTGTAGTAAAAAATTATTGAGAGCTCCGAAAGAGCGAATTTGTTACTACCCGAATAAATAAAATTATTCATGGCATTGGTGGTAGTAAGTCTCAAAAAAGAACTTTTTGAGTTTCAAATATATTAGCCAAAGTGGTTGGCATATTGAGACTATAAATGAAAGGAAGATTGAATATCTTCTTATTACTATAATCATACCGGGTAAATATGAAAGGTTACCCGATTTTTCTTCTATTTGTACTACAAATGTATAAGCATGGTGATGGAATCACATGCCATAGTAAATTAAATATTTACTGAAACAAATATTAGTTGGCACGACCGGTTGGCCATCCCGGTTCAATTATGATGCGAAAATTAATTGAGAATTCACATTGGTATATATTGAAGAAATAGAAGATTCTTCAAGAATTCTCTTGTGCTGCTTATTCTCATGATATACCAGTCAAGGTTGGGATTGAATCCCTTAAAATCTGGAACGAATAAAAGGTGATATATATATGGGCCCAGTCACCTGCCATGTGGACCGTTTACTATTATATGATTTTAATAGATGCATCTATTGTATGGTCACATGTGCGTTTGTTATCAACTTGCACTTTGGTTTTTGCAAGGTTGTTTGCTCAAATTATTAGAGCACAGTTCCAGAATATATATTATGATAATTTATCTTGATAATGCTGGTTTAAATCCAAGTTGGTTTAGCAGAAATTGTATGCCTCCAATTATAGCTAAACCATTGGTTATGAGAACAAAACTCCCAAATAGAAATTTGGTATGAGGTGTATTATTTAATATACAACAGCACTTGTACGCATCTAGCCAACAAGTTATGATAAATTCTCCCCATCACAATTGGTTCAGGGTCAGGAACCAAATATTTTCATCTAGAAATATGGATGTACTATATGATTTAATTGTGCCACCACAATGCACAAAGATTGGTCTCAATGAAGGTTGGGGATATGTGTTGGTGATCCCAACATTAGGGGGAGAAAATGAGCAGCTGAAAAAAAAGTAATACATGGAATGAATTATTATGAGTACATTAGATCCTCGTACAAGAAAATATGAACTTGAAGTTCAAGTGATAATTCATTTGCAAAATATTTCCATGCGCATTTGCTGACCCAAACTAAATGTCATATTTCAGCTACTAATGCTCCAAATAGAATAAAGTCCATGATGGACATAGTCTATGGAACTCTTGAAGCGTAATAGACTAATCGGTTCCAAAGATAAAACTCCTTGAAGAAGGAGAGGAGCAAATGTTCAAGATGGTCATAATAAGGAGGCAAGTGCTTTATAAGAGCACCATGACATAACATTTTATAAGACCTCATGGGAGAGGCTCAGGTACCTGAAAATAATGAGATCTCGATAAGTTATGTCTTTATTATGCGATGATGGAACCGATGTAAAATGATCGTTGACGATGTTGTTAATATAATGTAGCGCTCAATATTATTAATATTGACGAGGATCTCGAGCTCAAATCTGTCATGGAATTTGGACAGATAAATGATTGGCCAAATGAAAAATATGCAATGAAATTGACTTCACCTGAAAAATGTGAAGTTGGACGGATAGTCCCCACACCTGAAAGTGAAATGAAAAATCAAGTCGATAGATATAAAGACGACTAGTGGCACAAAATTTTCGTAAATATCCTGGTATTAGGAGACATGTTCTCCTACGGGGGGTCTGACAATACATTTGATATGCATATAATGAAAATCATTGAATGATTTAAATTGTTCTAAAGCATATTAAGGTTCCCAAGAAATTTATTAAATAAATCTTCGGCAGATCCTTATGTAGATTAGAGTGATCATTGCGTACATGATTTATTTTTGTGTCTAGTGCAATTGATGCACTAATATATCTGGCTAGAACCATACGTATAACAATATGCTAGCAAGATATAGTTTTATTTCAATGTGGAGATATTGGAATACAATTAGTATTATATTTCAAAAGGAATACTTGATTTAGATTTGTTTATTCTAACAAATATCGCGAAGATTTTGTTGGTTATGCAAATGCAGGCATTTTCTGAAGTTCGTTCTTCAAACATTCTATTTGCATGTGAGAGTACTGTCATATTATCATATTACAAGGCAGTTAATTGTTGATACTTATTCAAGTCATGCCAAGATAAGCAACTGATAAAGCAAGGGGCTCAACACACAACAGACGTGTGACTTGACTTTGAAGAGAAGATTTCAATAATACTGAAGATTATGTTGTTTGCTTATATCAATTGAAAGAAGGACTATCGAAGGAGTCAAAATAAAGCACATTCACCAAAGTTCTTCAACAAATTTGTTCAAGTAATAATTTGACAAACTTCTTCACAAGACATTGCGGATCTCAATATTAGAGAAGTTGTTATACAAGCTTGGAATTCGTCGTCTCCGAAGAATAAAGTGTTGTTTTCATCAGGGGGAGGCAAATAAGGCGCTGTACTCTTTTTCCCTGAGCTAAGATTTTATCCCACTGGGTTTTTTCTGGCAAGGTTTTTAATGAGGCAACAAATAATGCGTATTACAAGATATGTGTACTCTTTTTCCTTCACTAAGATTTTTTCCCACAGGGTTTTTTCTTAGTAAGGTTTTAACGAGGCACATTATCTATAGACATCCAAGGGGGAGTGTTATGAAATATTATTTTGTAGTGGATGTCTATAACTCCTAAAGAAGTTACTCCCACTACTCTTCTCCATTATGTAGATAACTCCCACTACTTCTCACCATTATAGTTGTAACTCCCACACCTCCATAACCTCCCCATGATCTTCCTCCATGATCTCAAATGTTTAATGTCATGTTTATGGCATTCTTTTGTATGCCTCTATGTAATCCTATAAATAGAGGGTTTTGGCATCACATTGTATACACTTGAATACATGGAATCTCTCTTTCTCTCTACATTGTTGTCTATCTTTTTGTTTTATATTATTACTTTAAGCTAAGTTTTGTAACATGATGTAATGTAAGTGTATATAATTAATGTGATTATAAGTCATGAAAAGTTTAATTGAACTATAAATAAAAAATATTTAGGAAAATAGAGTATAATGGGACAAAAAATACAAGAAGTGTTGATTTAGTGTAATTTACTCGAAACATTGCTGACCATTGTTAGACCGCCTTATTCGTATCGATCAGATTCACATGCAATTCCACCTTGTAAATACCACCACCACTTTCACCGACACAAGACAATCTTAAAAAGGCAAAATCCACAGTGCTGAATTACATAAACCACTCACTACCCCCAAATTCAAGAATCAGAAACATCGAAAAATGGAGGACTTCAGATCTAAGTCATATAACAATTCCAGAACACAAGCTGAAAGCTATACCTATACTACTACTGATGTAGGTTACAGTAACGGTAACGGTAACGGTAACGGTAACGGTAACGGTTACGAACCCAATTCAAACCCAACTGGATTTCGAGGAGATCTACGATGTTACAGTGCTTCCTATGCATCTTCATCGGTACCGAATAACAATACCCAGATGGAGTTGTCGGCGGCTAAAGATGTAAAATTCAAGAAAGGAAAGTCAAGTAATAATAATGGGTCAGTTTCTAAGAGCTGGAGTTTTAGTGACGGAGAGTTGCAAAGGAAAAAAAGGGTGGCTAGTTATAAGGTATACACAGTTGAAGGAAAAGTGAAGGGATCAATTAAGAAGAGTTTTCGTTGGATTAAAGAGCGCTGTACCAAAGTTGTATATGGCTGGAGGTGATTAAAAATCAAATTTTTATGATTCACTTTCTAGTATGTTATACAGTGTTCTTTTTCTGGTTAAAACTCATTTCTGATATATTTTACTACTGGAGTAATATATTATTGCCTTTGATGAGTAATCATCTATCTCTGTTGCGTTTAGTGGGTAAGAAAATTATTGCTGCTCTAAGGTTAGCTAAATTTGCGAATTGCTTTAAGCTTGATGCATTTCTATTTTTGATCAATCTGTTTTGGTTGGTGAAATTAGAGAAGTACTATAAAAGGGCAGCCTGTATAAAAGGGCAGCCTGTGCACCAAGCTCTTGCTATGCGCGGGGTCTGGAAAGGCCGGACCACAAGGGTCTATTGTATGCAGCCTTACCTGTATTTATGCAAGAGGCTGTTTGCACGGCTTGAACCCGTGACCAGGAAGTCACGTGACATCTAACTTTATGAGTTACGCCAAGGCTCCCTTCTAGAAAAGTACTATGTTAGTATCTTTTTTGGGGTTCTACAGAGAATGAGTTGCATAACTTAGTGCATGAGATACAGGGTTATTCTACAGAGAATAATCAAAACGTCCTGATTTCTATTACTCATTTGTTTTTATGTTTTGGGGTGGAGTGGGGAGAGGAGGATTATGTGAAAAAGGCAATGGAGTTTGCTTGAATCGCGCCAACGCTTAGTTGATAAATGAATTGGCTCTTATTAAAAAAAAATTATTAAGACTTAGTGGGGTCTGGGGAGGGTAGTGTGTACGCAGACCTTACCCCTACCCTGGGGTAGAGAGGCTGTTTCCAAATAGACCCCCGGCATCCTTCCCTCCAAGAACTTCCCACCTTGCTCTTGGGGAGACTCGAACTCACAACCTCTCGGTTGGAAGTGGGGGTTGCTTACCATCAGACCAACCCCTCTTGTCATAAGTATAAGTACCCGATAACTTTGCGATGCTAAGCTTGATGGGAAGAAAGCGCATACGCTTTTTTGCCGCAACTGAGATTTCACGTAGTCTCCTATAATCTTCATTAGGTTACATCCTTGGGTGCAGATCAATGAATTCATACTTGGAATGCCATAATTAGATCTATCAATTCTACCATCTTTTAGATTAAGCTGAAAGGTGCCCTTGTATTTGAAAGCTTGAAGCAGTCTAGTGACTTGTAGTTTTAGACATTTGCTGTGAAGAAAAAGCTTGAAGCAGTCTAGTGATTTATGCTTGCTATATTCTTTCTTTTTAATGCAAAATGCAGTGTCATGTTCTGGCTTGGAACAGCCTTGTGATGTTTTTTAGGTAGAGGCAAGATAGAAGAACCTAATGCATGATCTATTGATGTTGTATCCAGCATTTCTTATTTCTTTATGTTCATATTTCTTTGTGCTCCTGAGAATATTAATTGATTTTGCATTTTTGTCATTTTACACAAAAAAAGATCTACCTGTCAGTTTTTCCGTGGGAAAAAAAAATATTTAGCCCCCGTTGTCTATGGCCAAGTTTTTCCAAAAAAATTTGGCAAAACATGTTTGTTTATAGATTTTATCCATGTTTTGGCAGATTTTGAAAACAAAATTTTCAAATTCCAAAACTAGCTCTAGACCTATTTTTGGCCTAAAATACCACTGTTTGATTTAACAATTTTAAAAATATATCTTATAAAAAAGATCACTATCTATTATGATCCAACTAATCCACTAGCTAATTACTACCATTTTCTTTTGGACTGATGTGGTACACATGTATTTTTGACGAATTATAGTGGCTAGTAATTGTGTTATTAGCAGTTGATATTAAAATATCAGGTTATGGTTTTAGGATAGTGTATTATGTAGTTCATTATAAAAACGTGATTTTGTGTCAAATTTTTTGGTTAAACTGAATATTTATCTATATTCGGGACTATGGTTTGTGATAATGATAATGAATAACATTGATGAAGGTTCTTCATATACAAGATTAGCAAGTTTGTTTGTTTGGTATTGTTGGGTATTTTTTAAAATTTATGGGTATAAGTCACGTTTCATATTTTTTGAACCAAAAAAAAGTGAAATATGTTTAGAAAAATTATGTTCAAACAGATTTTCATCATCAAACCAAACTTCATCCATGTTAAATTTTTTAAAACAAATTTGAGATTCTATGGTCGAACGTTGGGTTAGGAACTCAAACAAAGAGCTAGGAGAGGTAAACATCAACATTAACTAAAACTGTAAAGAATGTAAAAGTGTTATAAGCCCTAGGCTTTGATCCGACGTGTGGGTTAGGCGCAGTTACAACAAACAAATATTTTAGTGGAGAAGCTTAGAGGGAACAAACCAATTATCTGTCAAATTTCGAGCCGTGCGCCAGTTGGGCTTCCTATAGGCATGCAACTCAAAATTTGATATCAACTTATCCTAACTCCACAATGTGAAACAAAATTTTGGGAGAAAAGGCAATGTTCTCTATTTCTTTGCACTACCAATAAAAGCTTTAGTCTCGATTACAGGAGCAATATCTTGCCTATTTACTAAACTGTATCTTCTCTACAGTTGTGCAAAGCAAGAGGCCACCAAAAATCAGGCTTAGAATAGTTGCCAAGAGGTGAGTAAACTTCAGGTTGCAAAATACGAATCATCATCACTATGTGCACAACCTGCTTTGCTTCCACAATGCCTCGACATTCAGCTGCAAATAGCTAAACGACTCATGCCCTAGCTCTAGTTGTTTTTCTTAGGGGCAGAAGAAATGTTGGGAGTACATTTAGCAGATCATTACACAATATATTGAAGAGAAATGAACATATAGTGATCGTTGCACACAACCTGGTAAACATAATGAATTTTTACCAGAATCCTAATATAGGAAAACTGTATAAACTCAACGACACCCAACCTGAAAAGTATAAAGCATCGGGAATTTTAGTATTACAATGGCCAATGTACAGTTCTACTAATCCCCAACAGTTGGACAGAATTAAAAGTTTATAGACGATTCTGCATGCATGCATGGCATTGATTTATAAAAGAGCCATGCACCATATCGGAGTTCGTATTAACAGCACATCACCTTCTGTGCATAACCACCATCTGGATCTATATATTTGCGATCAATCTTTTGCCAGCTTGAACAACAGCAGCTAGTTCCCTAATTTCCAACCCACAAATCCGAAGAAAAATCAACTTTGGGGGCCGCAATCTATCTGTTGTCTACCACACAAGTAAAAAAATTTACAAGAAAGTGAAAGGGTTTGCAAAATCAATGAGCCCTCTCTTCGTCATCAAAATGTAGAGCCTCAATTCCTTTGATTGTGGTTTCATAGTTCTTTAATCCAGAAGTATTCTGGCCAGATGAAGCATATCTAGGATCGGACGATCCGCCAAGTGGAGAGCTTCTATGTCCACCTGATAATTTGTGCATGGTCCCTGGACTTGCCTCAGGTGTGCGAGAATGTGTAGGGTCAGAGTCATTCCCCACTGTGAAAGTCTCACGGCTCCCGGAGACTAGACCTCGCCTCAGAGATCCACTAGATCTTCCCATAAAAGTGGAGCTTGATAGCTGCAAATATTGGTAGCATTTAGAAAACTTGGGTGTGTGTGTGTGTGGGGTGGGGGGTGGGGGGGGTGAGTTGAAGACTTGTGGTGTAGCACAGGAGTAAACTTCAATTTTGACAACTTTGAAACCTTTAAAACACCATTTACTATTTTGTTTTCGTGCAAGCTAAGTTAATATCGAACTACCATCTTTACCCAAGGTGAAAGCATCTTAGGGAAAATTTATCAGCAGTAATGGAGGACTTGGACCAAGACACATTTCACTGTAACAGCGTCACAAGTCTTGATTGTCAGAGCATCACAAATCTCCCGCTAATGGCCTTTCAGGGCCTCTAGCATTTGAAATTTACTCTCTTTACGAAGGTTTTACTTATCAAATAACTCAAACTCACCATAGCATCCTTGCTCGTGGAATCATTTTCAATAGGACTCTTCTGCCTGGATAAACTTCCAGCATTTATAAGTGGCCCAGAACTTCTCCTCCGAGAAGGCTCTGCTGATTGTCTTCCTTCCCCTTCCCCTGCGAAAAATGTAGGGGAGCAGATAAAAAATGAGATTCTGATAAAAATAGAGACACAGAGACTTGACCAGTAGTTGAGTGTAGTTAGCAAAAGCCAGACACAAGCTGAAATAGAGACAATGTGCTTAAGTCTAGAAACAAAAGCACGCATAGAGGCGGTATTCCGGGAAATAACCTGATTGCCTTTCTACATTTGGAATAACTGGAGGCATGCCTGAGCTGGGACCGGCACTAGGGCCCTAGAAAAATAAAAATAAAAAGCAATGGTTGTCAGATACAAGCTCATCACACATGAAGAATGAAAAACGAGATGTTATACCACTCACAAGAGGTCGGGAAGGAGGAGCTGCAATTTGCGATTGCTGATACTTCAAGATAGTCCAATCAAACACATAGTCAAACTGAAAGCCTGCAACAGGAAACAGAATTGTAACAAAAAGCTAGTTGTATATTACCAAACAAAGCCAAAAACAGCTTCCAAAAGCTTATTAAGACCTTCACGGATGAAGAGGTCACGGAATATTCTCTTCAGATAAGCATAATCTGGTTTATCCTCAAAGCGAAGAGAACGACAATAATGGAAATATGATGCAAATTCAGTAGGATAACCACGACACAGAGCCTGCAGAAACAGAGACTCAGAGATCAGCTGTTTAGGCTCCATAAAGAAATATTTTTAGAAAATCCAATCACCAAATGTGTAAATAAATTACCTCAATAGATGTTGAAACCTTCTTTTCACTAATTTTCTCATACTTCTGCTTCTTAGTTCCTGCTTTCAGCCCTTGCCAAGGAAGACTGCAATAAATAGATGTCAAACACAAGCCGAACAAAAAGAAGAGGATAGATTGCAGCAAAAATCACCTTCCTCGGAGAAAGTACATAAGAACATATCCAAGAGACTCCAAATCATCCCTCCTGCTTTGTTCTACAATTACCAACATAATACATTAAGACATTGAGTCAAAAGACAGCAGAGTTCAACCGTCAGAAGAGTGAAGAAGCAGGCCTAAAGAACCAGAACACTTACCGATACCAAGGTGAGTGTTCATGCTAGCATATCTTGCAGTGCCGGTCAAGTTTTTGTTCTCTCTGAGTGCAAAATACCAGACAATAGCATATAAGCTAACAGGCATGAATAGGATTCACAAATGCTAGATACATAATGCATGTGCTTGAACATTTAAAAAAAGACCTAGGACACTCCGAATGAACAGCCCTCTGTTGTACTTCAATTCTAAGCTGGAATACCCAGATATTCACAGCACAAGATTCTAGGACATTCTGAATAATAATGAGCTGCCCTCTGTTGTACTTACAATTCTAAGCTTGAATATCCAGATATTCACATCACAAGGTTTTCTTTAGGAAACAGAAGGGAACGAGAGGGACTGGTATTTTTCAAGATTTTAGCACAATCATTAGTCTCCTCTCATTTCCTTTTTCTTCCAACTCCTTCCATCCAAGCATAATATTAAAGCTTTCAGTAGGAATACATGTGTTCATCAAGCAGAGCACATCATACATCTCGTATTGTATTATAGCCCATTATAGACAAAGCAGAATCTTGCATTGTCATATTAAAATCTCAAAACAACCCTAGCTGTAACTTTACATAACGCTCAACTGAAGCCAATAGGATTATATCTGCTGTGGTTATTTAAAAACTATTAAAACGTTTCCTTTTTTCTTATGAAATAAGCAATTTGTACTTAAAAGTGAAATCTGAATAAACATTAATATTGAGTCTGATGTCATCCCTTTTTTTCGAGGTAAAGTATTTTGCACTATGACGGACGTTGTCAGCACCCTGATAATTTAGGCAGATGGCCTGGAGCTGTTCCTATCTTTTTGCAGTCCTTTCGTGTGTAATCCTTGCATCTTCTTGATGCCTTTTAATGAAAATTCTTACTTCATAAAAATAAGATATATTTTGCGTTATGATGTCCTCACTGGTGGGGGGATTTAAGTTGAGTCCAAATCAGTTTGCTTCCAATGCTAAAGCCAAGTCAAAGCTTTTAAAATAAGGGAAAAGAACAAAAGGGGCAAGAGGATATTCACTACACTATCCAGTAGAGCAAAAAAGACGACGAGAAATAAAGGTGCTGTAAACACTTGTTATCCTACCAAACAAGCAACTCATAATCAACTAACCGGTAAGGAATGTGCTGGTGAGTTGAAGTGTCTCGATACTTTTTGGCTAGACCAAAGTCAATTATGTAAACCTGCATTTTAAGTCAAAACAAAATGGTAATGGAAAGATATCCTACAAAATCGTGGAAATAAAAGAAAAGATATAGTAAAAAGAATGTGGGACCTGATTTGCACGTCTTCCCAAGCCCATAAGAAAATTGTCTGGCTTGATATCTCGATGCAAAAATGATTTGGAATGAACAAATTCAACACGATTTATCTGCAGTACCAGAATAGCCATATAACCAACATATTTTAAGAAGGTTTACAAATGCTAAATTTAAAGATTTAAACGAAAGATTAACCATTTGATCTGCAAGCATTAAAACTGTCTTCAGGGAAAGCTTCCTGCTGCAAAAATTAAATAAATCTTCAAGACTTGGTCCTAGCAAATCCATGACCAGAACATTGTAATCTCCCTCCACGCCAAACCACCTCACATTTGGAATACCAGCTACAACAGAAGTACTAGAATTACAATGCTACAAACTAGACAAGAGAGCAGATACGTTTTAAAAATGAAAAAGTAAAAAAAGAAACAGGAAAAGCCATTACTTCCTCCTTGAAGAATTCTATACAGCTTTGACTCATATAGCAACTGAGGATGCTTTGTCTTGACATTTTCCTGCAATAATACTTAACATCTTGAAGCATAATAAAAGATGGAGATGAATAGCCATTTATAGTGTGATAAGACATAACAAGCCAAGATCTTAAGCAAGGAGAACACCTTGCTTGGTCCTTAATTGTTTTTTATCAGGATCTTGCAGATATTTGTTATATATAAAGGAATATGCTACACATGAGGTTCATCTGCAAGATCCTTATAGTGTGATAAGACATAACAAGCCAAGATCTTAAAAAGCCATGAGCAAGGAGAACACCTTGCTTGGTCCTTAATTGTTTTTTTATAAGGATCTTGCAGATATTTGTTATATATAAAGGAATATGCTACACATGAGGTTCATCGCGTAATGCTAGTTCAACTTCAACAAGCAAGCGATATGTCTAAATCTTAGATGTTGGTGGGATGGAATATGTTTCAGAGCTAAGACCAGTGCACCATTACATAGTAGTCTTAAGAAAGTGCTGACTTTGACGATTTGGTTTGTAATTCTTACTATAGAAATGAGATGAGTTTGATATAGCTTTCATTCAAACACCAAATTCAAAACTTTATTTATACATTAAACCATGACAAGGATCGCCTGATCGGCATGCACTAATAAGCCAATCATAAAAATGCATCAAATACGTCCTGCACTAGTAAAACCTTTGCTTTTTCTCCATACATCCATGTCCTAGGATACTTCAAAATTAAAAGCTTCCTGAATGCGCACTTAAACTCAAGCAAAGACTCCCCCTTTAAGCAATTGACAATGTTCTTTGGGCTCTCCCTGTTTCAGCAATGAAACAAGAAGCAATTAAGAAAGATTTGACCTAGTCGCCCTCAGATGAACACAACTCGAAGGCCTTGAAGAATGCACCTCAACCAAGCAAGTAAGCTCTGTGCACAACGTGACGAAAGAATTCAAACATTCTCAATTTCCACTCACAACAGATGAATATGGGAGTACTTCAACATCCAAGGGGTGCGGCCTAGAGGTCAACGAAGTTGGATGAGAACTCAGGTTCAAATCCTGACAGATGCAAAAAAATACTAGGTGATTTCTTCCATCTGCGTAAGCCATAATGGGCACAGCTATCCGGTACCTATGTTGGTAGGAGATAGCAGGTATCCAACGGAATACTCGAAATGGCTTAAACTGGCCCACACACCACCGTCATTCAAATTATAAAATAGAAGTAGTTCAACTACATTACCCTACTAGGTCAACATCAATTGCCTCAATTGATATCTAAGTTTCCAGAAACAACACATTCCACAAGAGACAGTAATTTAAAATACAATAATAAAGCAAAAAAAACAACTGCAATAAGAGTAATATAAGCAGAAGTATAGTAAATTACTGGTATAAATAAATAAATGAATAAACCCACTCACCAGCTTAATTGCCAACTCCTCATTAGTCTGAATATTAGTACCTAAACAACCAACAAAACAAAAATAAATAAATTTCTCAAACCCACAACAGCACAAATAAATTGACAAATTCTCCGGAAAGAAAAAAAAAAACTCACCAAGATAGATCTCACCGAATGATCCACTGCCAATTTTGCGACCAAGTCGATACTTGTTACCCACACGAGGCTCCATTCAAAAATTGAAAAAAAAAAAACTAACTAGGTCAACCTTGGATTCCTAAAGAAAGCTTCAAATGCCCAAAAAAAAGGAAAAAACAAAAAGATTTCAACTGTGTTCTACACAGAGATCCGAAGGAGTTCAAAAATGAAAATGTGATTTTTTTTTTTCTCTATCTACAAAGCTAGGGTTAGGTTGAAGCAGGTAACAGAGAAAGAGAAGATTAAAAAGAAAATAAAATAAAAAAGAAGAAAGAATTTGAATAGATGCTCCTTTTTTTTCCCTTTTTTTTATTTTTTGCTGTTTGAGTAGTAATAAAGTGCTTTGCGTGGTTACGGGGCATAATTTGGAGGATAATTCACGTGCCGACAACGCGCGTGATGGAAGTTTCCATAAGAAAATGGAAAAGATTAGTGCTGTTTGATATGGGGAGTATGGACACGTGACTTATCTGGCAAGGTATCTATTCTCACGTGACCTAAATTTTTCTTCTTTTTTTCTTTTTGTTATTTAATGATCTAAATTCTAATATTCGATATTTATTGGCCACTAATTCGAATTCCATGCTCGCTTAAGGATAGTTTAGGAGAGAAAGCTACTTTGCAAGTAATTTCTTTCTTTTTCTAGTTTAATTCAATCTTTAATTAAGAATAGAGAGTTCTCATTCATCCATTATAATCCTAGATTCCTAAATGATATGTGAATGACGCAAGGTGGTTGTCACTTAAGCATTGTGGGAGCAGACTCCGTGAAAAAGTCGTGTGCATCAAAAAAATGGAAGGGTTCTTCTTCTCTATCTTGAATCTAGCTCTTGCCAGTTTGGATGAACAAAGTGCGCAAAGCATGGAGTGAGATTATTATCATACCTTTTTCAATTTATCTAGTGAACATAGGCTCGAGTGTGTTTTGACTCTATTTGAACATATTAAGATAAAGAATTGGAATACATTTATTTGTGACCTCTGAGGAGCGTATAAGGTGAAAATCTCATGTACGGCTACGTAATATCGATGGGTATAGTGATGTTATCATCGATTATGATTATCTAATAGTTTCAAGTACAGTTGATATAGTGGAAGCACAGTCAAAATATGATTTTAGGGTGGAATTTGTAGCGTCAACTCATCAGATTTATCGATTTCACTCTTCTTTCGCCATTTTTAACTTATCTCACTACAAGAAATTGGATTATTAGTGGCAACATATAGCAGCGATCCTATAGGTTGCTACAACAACTATATATTAGCAGCGACTTTTAAAATGGCTACAGAAGATTAATATAGCAGCGACTTTTTTTAGCTCGCCTCTGGCTGAAATTTTCTGTCCCGCCAGGAATAAAATTTTGGCTCCATATTTTTGGAAAGTCGCTGCTAAATATCTCTTGCAGCGATTGGGTCGCTCCTACACGATAGAAATTTACTTTTAAAATAATAAAGAAAATAAAAATTCCCATCTTCATTAACCATTGTCTGCTGGAACAGAAGGCCAAAGTGAAAGAATACAAAAGCACAAAACACTGTCTAGGGTCAGCCCTCTCTCTAGAAATCAGTTCTCTCCTCGGCAAAAATTTCACCCAAATCAAAATCCCTCAAATCAAAATGTGAATCTCAGGTATGTTTAAATCCCTAATTTTTCGTTTTTTTTAAGGAAAGAAGTTCCTCCATTTTAATATCGATTTCGTGAAGTTCCTCCGTTCAAATCCCTAATCCGACTTGAATAAATGAAACGATTCTGTTCATAATCGATTTCACCTTTCCTTCTTCCTGTTACTATCCCATATCAAACTAAAACCCCATAAAGATTTATATAAGATATATTTACATTTGGGTATTTTGGTATAATGTTCTGTTAGACAAAAGTTTCAACATGCAATTAGGGATAATTATTTTTTCAGCAATTTCACTTTTGTCTTCTCAGATTTCATCTCGAATTTCTCTGTGTCATTTGATAATCTACAGGAATACCAAAAAAATCACACAGAAAGAATCATTTGAAGCGTATTTAGTGTTGTTATTTTCGATTCTCGGTCTTGACAGAATCTCAGCTATCTCTTTTCTTGGGTAAGTTAAAATCTTCTTCTTGAGAGACGTTTTACATGTCGGCATTCTATTCAGTTTGAATTATTATATGAGCTTTGTAGGTTCTTTCAGTTATGTCCCCTGTCGCAATAGTCTGTGTAACTCCTTAAATTATTTATGGAATAGTACATATATATGCTTTGAATATGACTTACTCTCTGTCCGATGTGTATAATTTACATACTGTGGAAGCCAGGTGGAGCATGTAGACCGAGTTAAATGGAATTCACAATCATAAACAAGGACTTTGGGTTGCTATGGAGTAACTATGATATTGTGTTAGCAAGTGATGATAGGATTAATGGGAATTTAATTACATATATGAAAGTGAGAGTCCTCAAACAGTTCCTGCAAGACACATCAATGGCTAAACTAAAAACTGTTGGAGGCATTTTACTTGGAACAATAGACACATTTATAGTAGAACAGACAAAGTTTTGGTCAATGTTGAATAGTTGTTCATGTTGCCTCACCTGGAAGTACTAGTAATGAGTCCCCTTACCAGTTAAAACCTTTTGTCCTACATTTGTTATCAAGAATCCATACTGAAGAAGTTATTTTGTCCACATAAAAGATTTATGATGTTGTATTCAAAGGAAAAATAATTAACTCATCATTCAGGATATCACGGCCCAGCCCATTTTAGAAAAGTTGGAAGCTTCATAGATTTTGTTCATATTCGTTTTTGTCTGATCTTTACTACTCTTGAATAGAATAAATCTACTTGGTAGACATGATGCTATATTCATTATACAGCTGTTTATCAGGCCTTGCTGATTTTTCTTATTGTAAATACACTTCAAACGAACTATAGTTTTTATATATGTTCCACTATAGTTTGGTTGCTAGTCCCTGAATGGATCTTATAACATCTGAATATAAAATTAATGAGGATATAGTAGTGCCAAAGGCACTTGAAACTTATTAAGCTTTAGATACTTTTTTAAGATGTGATTTCTTCCCCCTAATTTTCCATTCTTCTTCTGAGTAACCATTTCGTGCACTTTGAAATGTAGTCTATCACATCACTACTGGCTATAAGCATCGTTTCCCATCTTTTTTGGACAATGCCTGCCGAAGTTCACATGCTCGTTCGACATCTTGCTTTTACTGAATCCTAACATCAGAAGAAGAGGAGCTTCACGGTTGACGGATACATTCTGTCACAAAGATCACCTGTTGTCTGTTGAACAAATGGCTGCTGAGTTGCGAAGAAATATGGAAATTGAGTTGGAAAGGAAGTTGGCAGAGGAGCGTCAACACGCAAATGAGGAGCGTCAACACGCAAATGCAGAAACAGACAAGAGGATCTCTCTAGAAGTGGAGAAGAAGATGCACGAACAATTTGCTAGTTTCTTGACCAGAATGCAACAACAACAAGTACTTGCTCCGCTCCTTCTTAACAATTCTTCTTCCTTCTCGATATTTCTTCTTCCTTCCTTCTGTAGTGACTTCATGTTTAGGGGTTTAGTAATGTGTTGGTATCTCTGGTTTTAGTAATGTGTTGGTTCTATTTCAACAGAAAGGTTGGTTTTAGTATGTAATGTGTTAGTATCTCTGATTTTAGTACGTAAGGTTGGTTTGCCTGGTGGTTAATCTGCTATGCTTATGTTGGCCCTGAACTTGTGACTTTCTGCAATGAGTAACATCAGTGGAGAAAGTAACCACAGCCTTGTCCTGCCAAGGAATTCCATACATATCTTATTCAATATTTGGATGTTTTCTTGTTTCTTAACGCTCACCTCTAGTTTCAAACCATAAGACCATCCTTAACATGCTGTGTAGTCTGTTTAAAGGCAACGTCCTTCAGGCTAATAAAATCTGGAATTATTGAACAAACTCAACTGAACCAGGAGTCTGAAGAAGTCATCTTCAGCAACTGAAAGTTTTCGATATAATGTTGAAAAAGCATTTTATCTTTAAACAGTACATCCATGTCAATTCAAATACCAGGATCAGTAGTGGGAGACAACCACAACTTAATATCAGTAGTAACATTCTATAAAGGAAAGAGGGTGATCGTCTGTGTTCCAGTGCATACGATGCACAAATATGCTTATTGGCTCTGGGATATATGGTAACTCTGTACCAACTTTATTTTAGTCCTACGTGTTTGATTAAAATGAACTCATTAAAATCACCTTTTCAACACAACCAGATGCTATATATGCACTTAGTCAAAAAAGGAAAAAAAAAGTGTTGCAGAGGAATTGCTCCTTCTCACCTATGTTGTGATTTGTGTGGATATTGTCATCTAGCTGTTACTTTTTTCTAAAGTGGCGTTTATGAATGATTTGTGCACTGCTGACTGCTAATTGATAAAAGTTAATTTGGAAAATACCCTGTGGGTTTTAGTAGTCTTTATGAAGTTTCAGTTAGAAATAGAACATCAAAAATCTTCTTTGTATTCTTTGTTTATCATTTTTGGAATTGGAACATTCCATGTGTTAAAAGAAGAACGCAGCTTGGCATGCAAAAGTGAGTTGGATATTTGATGAGTGCTGAACTTAATCTATGTGCCATCACTCTAGGTGAACAGTACTTCGTACGTCTAGTTGTCTTCATGTGGAATCTACCTGCTCTTTATCATCTGACTAGCTTTCCTATTGACTCTATATGAAAATTCTTTTGATCTTGAAATGGTTTATTGAAGATAGTTTTAAAGATATTGATGGGAGATTTTAATCAAATTTAACATTTAAATATATTTCTCTGTTTTTGCTGCAACAATATAATATAGACGCAAACCTTGAGGATATAACAAATCTTTATGTTCCTTATATATCTTAGAATTTTGATAGTAGTTGGATATAACAAATCTCAGTATGTTCCTTATATATATTCCTTTTGTCTAGCTGGGACAAGGCACTTAAACAGTGGTTCAAACATGGTGTCGAGCAAGGAGCAGTTACAAGGCACTTAATATTTTGTCTTTTTTGGGATATGTATATGCATACAATTACAATGCACAATGAAGTGTCGGGTAGTATATATGTAATTGACTTTTTAGTAATGATAATATTTGTAATATTTGGCTTGAGAAATTCTTTTGGTGTTTGTCAAGCATTATTGGTTGTTTTAATATTGATAGTCAATTGATATGAATATCTCTATATGAAATTTGAGAGAATTAGGTTCCTACTGGTATGGAAATGTATATAATTTTGGTTGTTATAATTACTGAGAAAATACCTTTTAGTGGCGACATAGTTTTGTCACAGAAGGTCGATTTCTTTTGCAGGCCACTGAACATAAATATTTTTTGTGGCAATTTTAGTCGCTACTAAAGAATATTTATAGTGGCGACATAATTTTGCCACTGAACATGAATATATTTTGTGGCGAAAGTAGTCCATGCTAAAGGTGAATATATAGTGGCGACCCATCTAATATTTGTTCTTATGGAATAATTTTTTGTAGGTTTTTTCCAACCTTTTGTGGCAACTCTATCGCCACAAAATACATTCTTAGTGGCGACTATACATGTCGCAGCAAATAACCTTTAGGTACGGGTTTCCTTGCGGCAATCCAAAAGTCGCCACTAAAACCTTTTAGCAGCGACTCCTAGGGGTTTTGTGGCGACTTTAGTCGCCACAATAAGGGTGATTTCTTGTAGTGTCTTTTAGATTTTCCGTCAAGAAGAGAAATGGTATTGAATGACTAGAAATCGATTTTATTTTATTATTTATATTGCACATAGTTTATGACCACTGGATCCAAAAAAATTCATCTCAAATGTTATGTAGAGCTTAAAATGATAATGAAGTAGCGCTATGCACAAACAAAATGTCTTAATAAGTGTTAAGCTCGGGGATTACAAGCTTAGAAAGCTTTCACAGCTACAATGGAGGAAGCAATTAGAAGCTTTCAGAAGATCGAATTTGGAGAGCAGAGAAATGGAGTCTCTTAATTGATGAATGAAACTTTAATTCAATTATGCAGTAGCTAAGTTCTTATATACAATGAGAGTACTAATCTAACTACCTGACTTGAGAATGACAGCTAAGCACTAACTACTCTAACAACTAACTAATAATAGATGGAGCTACAGTAATAACTAATTAGTGGAATAAAATACAGTACACGGTGTTATAATCTTAATACCCCCTTCAAGTTGGAGGTGGAGGAAGCATAGCCAACTTTCCCAAAACAGTAGCATGTTTGATCCCAGTAAGGGACTTTGTGAGGATGTCAGCAAGTTGATCACCAGTCCTTATGTGGTGAAGCAGAATAAGACCTTTTGTTAGCTTGGACCTTACGACGTGGCAATCAACTTCAGTGTGCTTAGTGCGCTCATGAAACACAGAATTTCTGGCAATGTGGAGAGTAGATTGACTGTCACAAAACACAGGGATAGGAAGGGCAGGAGGGACAGTCAGCTCTGTAAGCACACGATGCAGCTAGACAAGTTCACCAACGACCTTCCTAATGGATCTATATTCTGCTTCTGCTGAAGAAAGGGAGATGGTTTCCTGCTTCTTAGATTTCCAGCTGATAGGATTGTTGCCCAAGAGAACAATGTAGCCTAATACTGACTTCCTAGAATCAGGGCAGGCAGCCCAATCAGAATCACAAGAAGCTTTGACTGAAAAGTCAGCATCATTGGACATGAAGAGACCCAAAGTGGGATCCTTGAGTAAGTATCTAAGCATATGATAGGCAGCCTGAAGGTGAGGCTCTCTAGGATCCTGCATATATTGGCTCAGGTGTTGTACTCCATAGGCTATATCTAGTCTAGTGTTGGTGAGGAAGTTCAACTTCCCAACCAACTGTCTGTAGAAAGTAGGATCAGACAGGGGTGCTCCTTCTTGGCCTTCAGCTTGATTGTGGGATCAAGGGAGAGGAGAAACTGGTAGAGTGTAGGCAGTCATAGTCTTTGAGAAGGTCAAGAACAAACTTTCTTTGGGAAATCAAGATCCCATCATCTCTATAGAGCACTTCAAGCCCCAAGAAATAATGCAGTCTTCCTAAATCTTTGATTTTGAACTGCTCATATAGGAAGGTTTTCAACATTTGAATTTCAGCAAGATCATTTCCTGTCAGCAGGACATCATCTACATAGACTCCCACAAATACCACACAATCAGTTGTCTTCTTATAGAATAAGGAGTAATCATGCATGGAGTGACTGTAACCTCTGGAGTATAGGGCCTCGGTGAGCTTAGCATACCACTGTCTGCTGGCTTGCTTTAAGCCATAAAAAGATTTATTCAATCTGCAAACTAGTTCAGGAGAGGAGACTGCAAGGCCTTGTGGCAGCTTCATGTAGACCTCCTCATGAAAATCTCCATGAAGAAAGACATTGTTCACATCCAATTGAAAGATCTCCCATTTCTTCTTGGCATCAGTAGTAATTAAGGCTCTAACAGTGGTCATCTTCACTACTGGAGAAAAGGTTTCTATATAGTCTACTCCAGCCTTTTGTGTATATCCCTTCTCAACCAATCTAGCTTTATATCTCTCTACACTTCTATTTGCTTTATGTTTGATCTTGTATACCCACTTGCAGCCTATGGTTTGTTTTCCAACAGGCAGTGGAACCAATGTCCAAGTGTTGTTTGCATGAAGTGCTTCAAATTCTTGAGTCATGGCCTATTGCCAGACAATATTGACTGCTGCTTCTTCATAAGATAAAGGCTCCCTGTCATTACAAATGCTTCTCACAACCTGCTGGCTATCAGGATTCAGGACATCATGAGTAATGTGATTGCTTTGGGTAAAAAGAGCATTGCAAGAGAAAGGTGAGTTAGTCTTAGTGACTTCAACATTTTGAGGTTGTTGCAGATTGGGCATAGAGCATACATATTCAGACAGATAAGATGGGGTCTTAGATACTCTACTGGATACTCGTTGATTGGGTTTTAGGGTGGAAGATGAGGACTGATCAACTCTTGAGGTGATTGGAGATATTGCTTGTGGTGGAGTGGTGTTAAGGATAGAAGATGATTGTATGGTGTGATTAGGTGACATTGGAATGGGTGTGAGTGTATAATGTGATCAGGTGACCTTGAGATGGGTGCAACAGAAGTGACTCTTTGAGGAGTTAAGACACTATAAGTAGGATAAAGAGGGAAAATATCAGAGTGGTCATGATGTGCAATAGCATGAGGCAGGGAATAGGGAGAATTTGGTACTGATGGAAGTGTAAAAGGAAATATGGACTCATGAAAAACAACATCTCGAGACACACAGATTTTCTTGGTCGCTAGGCTAAACACTTTGTACCCTTTGACAGCAAAAGGATATCCTACAAAGACATGTCGAGAAGCTCTTGGTTCAAACTTATCTCTGTGAGGTTTAGGAACAGTTGGATAGCACAGGCAACCAAAGCTTCTTAAGTGTGGGTAGTTTGGTTTCTTTCCATACAGCAATTCAACAGGACATTTGTTTTTCAAAGGTACAGTAGGCAATTGATTGATGAGAGAGGTTGCTGTAAGTACACATTCTCCCCAATATCTCAAGGGGAGTTTGGCAAGAAATAGTAAGGCTCTGGCAGTTTCTAATAGGTATTTGTGTTTTCTTTCTACTATGCCATTTTGTTGGGGTGTATAAGGGCAAGTTCTTTGGTGTTCAATTCCTTTGGACCGGAAGAATAAGGTGGCTTCACTGCTAGTAAATTCCAGACCATTATCTGATCTGATACACTTTACATGGTAGTAAATTGTGTCTCAACCATGGATATAAAACTTCTGAGAGTGTGTAATGCATTGCTCTTGCAACTGAGTAGATAAGTTCAAGTGGATCTACTATAGTGAGAAAGTATTTAAAATTGTCATGATTGGGTACATGATAAGGTCCCCACGGGTTTACATGCAAGAGATCAAATGTAGCAATGGTGTTTGTGGTTTTTAAGGGAAAAGGAAGTCTAATTTGCCTGGCCATAGGACATATAAAGCGAAGAAAGGGTTGTTTTGGTGCAAAGGTCACTGGTATATTAGATATCCCTTTCACCTTTCCAAAAGGTACATGCCCAAGCCTGTAGTGCCATAATAGATTCATATCACTTGCACCAATTGAAAGAGAGTCAGAATTATAACCCCTGTTTATTTTATTGCAGGTGAAATCATTTACAATAGGAGATGGAGACACAATATTTACAGCAGAACAGGGGAGACAGGAATGAGAAGGATACTGAGTATTTACAGATGGGAAAGACTGACAAGAATGAGAAAAGCAATGTGTTGTAGTATCATGGCTGTTTTTCATGGAGAGAAAGGGAGTGGCGCTCTTCTTTGCTGCAGCAAGACTTCCTTTATTCAAGCAGTCTGAGCAGAGAAGATACAATCCATCATGGACCTTACCAGTCTCCAGAGGCCTCTTCATAGAAGGGGCCTGCAGAAGACAACATATGTTAGAGAAAGAAGCCAGACATTTGAGATGTGTTGTTAATGAGCTGATAGAAATAAGATTGTATTTGAAAGTGGGAACAAATAGAACTTTATATAGAACTATTTCAGGTGTAAGAGTCACGGTTCCTACTTCAGTGACTTTGACTTTGTAACCATTTGGTAATTTCACAAGTAAAGGATAAGGTAGAGCAATTATGTTCTGTAGGTGTGTCTTGTTGAAAGTTGTCACGACCCAATTCCCAAACCCGGTCGTGATGGCGCCTCTCGTGAAGACAAGGCCAGCCAGACCAATACAGGACACCTCTTTTAAGCAGTAAATCACCATTAAGAAATTATGAAGCATGATTTAATAACAATAATTTGCGGAAACTTAGATAATAATAGTAAAACCAGCACAGCCCAAACCGGGGTGTCACAAGCCACGAGCATCTATTAAAGTATGAATACAACTACGAAGTCTGAAGTATACAAAATAGGACTGATAAACAAAAGGAAGAAATGCGGTGCTGCGAGCGCTGGCAGTCACCTCGCTAAACTCCGATAACTAAGCCTCCGATCAGCTCAATCCCGCTACCGGGGAAACAAATACCTGCATCTGCACACGAGGTGCAGGGAGAAAAGTGAGTACTCCAACCCAGTAAGTAATAAGAGTAAATAAAGTCTGAGCAGTAGGAAATAATGAATCCACATTCACGTTAGGCTCAATAACACAACATGCCTTCAAATCATAATACGAGTCAACCTTCCTTTTTAAAA